CTGCTGCTGAGGAAGCTGAGGACTGAGCTCCTGTTGTCTGCCAATGGTTCCTGGGATCTTTTCCAGTTACCTAGCTTGTGACCTGCATGGGAGGGTTCTGTGACCCAGAAGGCACATGAGGGGTCTGTGACTCAGACAGGCACATGAGGGGTCTGGTGACCCAACCTGGCATATGAGGGGGTCTGTGACCTAGTCTGTACAATGGGTTTTAAGGGTCTGTGAGCCCTAGCCTGACAAGTAAACATCAAATCCTTTATAAAGCAGTTGTCATTTTTGGTCTTACAATGATGGGAAATCAGGTCGGCTTAGGGAAAATTGGCTAAGTATGGAAAAATTGCATAATATAGGAAAAAGCATTTTGGCTACAAAGAAGATGTATAATTTTTGCCTTTCTTTTCCCTATGTCTGGATGGTTAGAAACAATTGTATTCTTGGATTTTATTTGCAAAATTGGAGGTTGTTTTTAAAAGTAAAAGAGTATCTAAGGGTACAGAGTGGGGTGGAGAATTAAAGCACATAGTGCATAGCAAAATATAGTAAACAAAAATCACGGAATCATAAAAAAAGAAAATCTGTTTGCTATGATAATAAATTTAAATGACATCAGATAGTAAAATTAGCTGTCAGTTCTTTTTATACCTCGGTGTGGATTGTAACCTCTGTAAATCTTTTAAATAATGGATTTCCAAATGATCGTTTACATGTATGTGGGGATGTGTGTGTGTGTGTGTATAAATATAAAATGTATCGTAAATATAAATATATATTCTGGTATATGTGAAAAATAAAGTAACATTAAACTGCATTGAAATATTTTTATTTTTTGTCTTTATTTTTGCTTTCTTATATTTACTAGAATTACTTTTTTTTTCTTTTTTTTGGCAGCTGGCTGGTGCAGAATCCGAACCTTTGACCTTGGTGTTAATCAGTACCATGTGCTTCCAAGCAAGCTAACCAGCCAGCCCCCAAATATTTAACAACATGAATTTGAGTTTCTTTAGAGACTAAAGGCAAAATGTATTTTTTCATTGCCTTAGCTTTTGCAAAAGGCTAAATAAAAACGTGGTGATCCACTTACAGGAGCAAGAAAACAGAACTATATATACATTTTATAATTAACGAGTGCTTAGTTATAGGTACTAGTGATTATTAGAGCTTCTAGACTATGAATGATAAAATGTTACTATTTCTATTTTAAAGTTTAGTGTCTACATAACCAGTGGATCACATATCCAAGATGGGTAACATTGGCTTTGTGCTTCAATCTTTAGATCTAACAAGGAAAAATGAAAAACATTTGGTTATGATTAAAGAACAAAGAAATAAGGGGTGGAGAGCAATCAATTCAGAAAATAAGGAACAGTTGGTTTACTCTAATTATAGCCATCTTGATTTTTCATCGTGTGTGTATCAGTTGGAAGTTTGGTTGAAAAGTAACCCTTTAGCCTAATTATAGAAATAAATTCATTGCAGATTGTCTAAGGGCGCTTTATGCTTTCCTTAAACTCAAATCTTAAAAGTCCTTTGCAGTTTGTATTGGCCACAAGTCGTTCCTTTGACATAGTGCAACAGTTCAGTTTTCATTTCCCAAGACTGAATAGCTTGTATCTACCATCATCTAAATGAGGATATGTTGACATCAATGAGAAAGTCAGGTCAATGTCAAAGACTCATCTAGTTAACAAGTTTTACACTTGGATTAGGTTGAGTTGTGCAGAATATGGCTGATTGTAAGAAAATGGTAGAACATTTATGTATATCTGTAATGAAATTGCAGATTGTTTATCATTGTAGCTCAAGCACTAAAATAAGGTCTAAGTTCCGATCCCCCTTTTTCATACATCTTCTCATGGATAAAATAGGTTATGGAAATAAGTGACTTTTTTTTTACAATGCAGATAAATTTATTGACATTGTAGAATACACTTTATAGCTTTCTCTGCATTCCTGCTTTTCCCACTTAGCACACGTATCTTCATTTATTTTGAATTCACCTTATATAGGAAGTTATATGTTTCTTTTGTAAGTGTTTTAGAGTGACACGCATTGACTTTTTTGACAGGTGTATTTACATGATCTATTTGGTAACAAGCATGGTTTTTTTGTTTGTTCTTGGATAGTCGTGAAACACAGATACATAGTACAAATGGAGCAAAGAACCATAACCTTCAATAACAAAGTCCTGTTGAAATATTATATGGTCTTAATGTCCAAATTTGATGGCTTTCTCTGTTACTTTTCCTCTATATTTTCTTTGAATTCTAAAGCAATTGCCTCCACCCCACCTCTTAACACACAGATAAAATAGCTGAAGCTTCAAGATGGACATATATATGTACCTATTGAGTTCTGGTGAATCTGAGTAAACAGAAAATAGAGAAGTCAAGTCAGTTTAAAATGGAAAAGTTCTTTAGTATCTTGTGTTTCAGTTGCTTCTTTACTATCTAGCACTAGCAGTTTGGGGCTGATTAACACAATTACTGTTGTAAACTTAAGATATGGTAGGAAGGGTTGCAGGTGATAGTATTATTTTGAAATATGTTTTAAATCATCCCAGAACTTAACATGGAAATTAGATTAGCGGTGACACCTGCATATCCATTCTAAACCATTGTTTTTACTACCCCAACCTTTTCCTTCTAAATCACAGATTTTATCATGTCCTTAGTCTTTTTAATCCANCTACCCCAACCTTTTCCTTCTAAATCACAGATTTTATCATGTCCTTAGTCTTTTTAATCCATTTGACTCTCAGTTCCTTATAGTAGTACCCCTCAACAAGGGGACCACATTGGAGTTGCCCAGGGAGCTTCTAAAATATGCACATACCTGGGAACCTGCCATTGGAAAATCAGATTTTTAGGTAGGGGTGGCAAGCATATTTGACAAAAACCGTGCCCATCGATTTAGATGGCTCTATTTGTCATGACGCAACCAAATGTTCTCATCCTGACTCACGTCATTTCCTCCTGCTCCTTCCTTCCTTAGTTCTGTTTCTTGCCTATATACTTTTGTACATGCCGTTCCTATTGCCTGAAATAACTTTTACTTCATTTACCTCCCTCCCTTTCTTTCCACTTGAGGTCTTTCATCTGTCAAACTAATCTTTCTCGATTCTCTTCCTTATTCTCCCAGGTAGAAATAGTCACTCTGTCTTTTAAGTTTTATTATGATTTTTTTATATTTGATGATTTTTTTTAGTATCCATTTCTTTGATTAAACTGTGAGCTCAATAAAATCGTGTAGTCTGTCTCATTCATATTTATGTTTAAACGAATACATGGATGAAAAATATAGTGAAAGCCTGTTATAAATTTAAATGTCTAGTGTTTTTATGAACACTGTTTTGGGAGACATTGTTTAAGTTGAGGTTCATCATCCACTGCCAGAACCTAGGTTGATATGTATATAATTTTATTTGCCTTAATATATATTTCCATTAAAACTTACATGCATATGGATATTTATTTTTCTCTTCATTTTTTTTTCTTGTGTCTGCAGACGAAATCTCACAAAACTGTCCCTTATCTTCAGTCACATGCTGGCAGAAATCAAAGCAATCTTTCCCAATGCTCAGTTCCAGGGAGATAACTTTCGTATCACAAAAGCAGATGCTGCTGAGTTCTGGAGGAAGTTTTTTGGAGACAAGTAAGTAAAAATCATTTTTATAATTTGAATTCATCTTTTAAGGGTAACCTAGGCCTACCTCCAGTTGCATATGGTGTAGATTATACTTGAGTGTTTTGAGGATGTATTTGAGTAATTTTGATGAGTGTTTTGATTGATTGGTAATTTTTCTGTGTAGCTACCAAAAGTAGGCCTCAATAATACAATAGTTTTTTATTGCAGGTATTACAAAGTAAATATGAGACTTTACAGTATTACTTACTTTATGAGCATTCATTGAGCTAGTTTGCTGTGAGAAGCAGCAGTACATAAGATAGAGTCTTTATACATGAGAAGCTCATAATTTCTTATAACTTAGTGCACACATAAAACACGAGCATTCATTGAGCTAGTTTGCTGTGAGAAGCAGCAGTACATCAGATAGAGTCTTTATACATGAGAAGCTCATAATTTCTTATAACTTAGTGCACACATAAAACAAATATACAAAATAAAAGGTAGAAGGGAATAGATACTTTAAAAATGGCATAAATAAATTGCGTTACAGTTCAGAGAGGAACAGTTGCCTCAGGATTGCAGTGTTCAGGGACTGCTTCCTAAAGGAGGTGGTATGTTAAACTTGGTTAAGATCTGAAATTGAGATAGGAGAAGGCCCTTACTACTCTGATCCAGCCTTTCTTTGTATTATTGCATGGAGTATATACATGTGTGAACAAGATATTTGGATAAGGTTATCACAGAGCTGGAGTATATCATGAAGTAGCTAAGAATATTTTCCATTAGGTACTTCTATCCAGACACGAATTCTGGTGAGCCTGGTAAATAATAGGACTTGAATGTCTAAAGCCAGCATAATTTATACAAAACTTTGAAAACTTTTGTCAGGAATCTCTCAGAAAGATGATCAAGAACTAACCATCAGGAGACAAATCTTTCCTCAATAATCTTTTAAGAGTCTCCTTTCATGAGCCCACACCCTCAGAATGTCCTAGATTGTAGGCAAAACCCCAGCTACCCAGTGAGGAGGAAAAGTGATTGCTTACACATAGATTATTGTTTTAATCCTGTATTTAAAGGTCTATATTTATCCCTTAACTTATTGAATTATACATATAAAACGTTGTTATACGTGTTTGATGGTTTTAGTGCTTTTAACCTTTCCAAAGCGCTGTTTTTATCTGTAGCTACCCCATGATTAGAACATACTTACATAGAGTAGTGAATATTTTATTAGATAAGTAATTTCTTGGCTTCAAAAACATTAAAGCCTATTTCCTACTTCTTATACTAAAATGTATTCTGAATTATTTGTAGGCATTAAAGGGGAAAAAAACATTGTCACTTACACAGACATTCTGTGTTCTAGAAATCTAGCTATTTATAATGTTTCCATATCCATTCACAAATGAGGAATTTAAAAAAAGGGTCATCCTCATCTGAATTAGAGTACCATTATATACTAATTGATTACTTGTGAATGGTAGAAAGCAGAAGGAGCTGGCTGAGTTCAGGGTTAAGAACGGAGAGGGTTTCCTACAGTTGCAGCTCATGTATTAACACTGTAAGCCGAGTGCAAACAGTTGGTAATCTTCAATATAAACTTCCTCTTACAGTCTTAAGAAAATATATAGGACATTGTGGTATTTCTTTTTGAAAACTGAAAATTCTGGTGAGTTATAAAACTGTTTGCTAGTCATAAGGTCAGTAAACAATGAAAAGATTGTTCACATTTTTCAAGAGAGGCGTTAACTTTGCTGGAACCTCAAGCCACAGCAAATTATGCATTTGAGACATCTTTATTTCCCTTTATTTATAACCACAGACATTAAAGGGCTGAAATTTCTGTTCAACTGCTACATGAGTGAAATCACTACTACATCAAATGGGAGATTCTTGAAATACCAATTATATACTCTTTCTACCTCCCAAATCCTTTTACCTTTCTCTCCTGTTTTCACTGACTTGAGAAAGCTGCTTAACTTGTCTTTTAACATGTTTTGGGGAGGGGGATGAGAGCCAACTTTCAAGCTCCTTCTAGATCTTATACATATTTCTATAGTCATCCAAATGAATGATTCCTTTATTAGATCTTTAGAGATATTATCTTTATACTTTTCATGGATTTTTCACCTTATAGTTCCACAATATTTTATTGAATGAATGAGCAGTGAATGGTGTAACCTTTTAAATAATTGAATTATTTTGTTTTTGTTATGTTCTAATACTATTTTGTATTTTCCCATAACTTAGTTCTTATATTGAAGCATTTCTGTGATTTATCTTGCTACACATTGAGGCCATGTGAGAAGCTTTCATTTAACTTAACTAGTGCCTTTAATCTTGAAAACAGAGTTGTTTTCAAAAAGGGAATCACTGAGAAGTTGGTTCTAAACACAGCCAAACAGATTATGGTTTTTCTAAAGTAGGTTTTAGCTTAAGGAATATAATTGTGACTTACTTTCCAAAAGGAACAGAGTCAATAAGAATAAAATATTAAGATTGAATTCAAGTTGAGAACAAGCGATTGTTCATAGGACTTTGTAAAATTCATAAAGGCAATTTTAGGATTCAGACCACATTAAAACAGGCAATAGACAAACACCTTTAGGTGTTGTATGCCTAATGCTTCCTTTCTGTGTTTCCCAAGCTTTTTGAAGACGTGGCAGGACCTACCTTCTGCTCAGGGCTCAAGCATAATAGCCAAGATGCTCTTCTTGCTTTGAAGGCCAAGGGGACCAACAATACAAAATGTGTCACGACAGACTGATTGGGAAGTCTTTCATTTGTCAAATTTTTATGCAGAATCATTTAATATTTTAACAGTTCAGTCTTGCATTTGCTTTCCTAGTCTGTTGATAGGAGATAGTAGAAATATGTAGGAAAAAAAAAGTGACATTATTGAATAAATGTGTTTAAGTTAGTTCTGCAAAATAAGACTAATATGAAATGGGTCTTCACACTGGAATAGTAGTGTATAATCCAGAAATTTTAACCATTAGGCTCAAAAAAAAAAAAATAAAACATTACCAGCTGTTGAAGAAAAAACAAACAAAAAACCGATAATGTGATTGGACTCTGCGGCAGTAATTTATCTAAGAAAGTCAGGTTCCCTGGCCACCATGCTGGGTACTTCTTGACACTGAGAAGATTTAGACATAAATTTCCAAATAAATTATAATTCAACAAGAACCATTGTAACTCTTTAATCTACTTATGCATCCTCTCCTTCTCATACTTACTTTAGTTCTCTTCTTAAAGTTCAAGTTCAAACTCTTCCGTGGATTATTACAGCAGCTTTCTGATTGGTCTCCCTTATCTTCAATAACAGCCTATCCAATTGTTCTCCTTAGTGAGACCAGTGAGCTCTCTAAAAAGCAGAGCTTTCTTTAAAAAATAAATAAATAAAAAGTAGAGGTAGTTATTCCAATTTTTTGCCTGAAGCACTTCCATGAATATTGATTCTGGATTAAAGTCTAAAATCTCATTAACATGACAAGCTTTAGGAATTATTTTTTCTTGCTTCATCTCTTTGTACTCAGCTCATCTGGAGAGAAACAAACTACTCAACACTCTACTCATATTTCCTAATGTCCTGCACTTTTTCCACACTTCATTTTGTTTTTTCCCTGTATTGCACCCACTGGTTAGGTAGCCAGTCACCCATGCCCTGCCCAGTGTTCCTTCTTTAGAAGCTTGCCCTGCCTACCCTAATGTAAAGTGGTACCCCTCCTCTGTGCTGTCAGGTACCCGGGCTCACATCTTTCATACTAGATTGCGATGAACTGTTGACTTGTTTGCATGTCCCAATTAAGAGCTTTCCTATAGACTAGAAAGTTTTTTTGAAGGCAAACATTGTGTCTTACTTATCTTTGTTTTTCAGAGCCTGGTACATTTTCTGGGATGCATAGGCACTAATAATTAACAGACCATTTGAGTAATTAGATGGATGAACGATGTCTGTTCTCTGCTCTCACTTTGCCACGACTTTATAATCTACAAATTTATCTCTTTTTTTAATCATCAATTCCTACAGTTCTACTTCCTAGATGCTTCTTGTCCCCTCTTCTTTTTTTATTCTTCCATCCCAAAATCTTGATGTCTTCCTTCAAGTCCAGTTCAGAAGTCCCTTTATTTAATTTTTCTTTTTCATATATATTCTCCCACATGGTCAATGTTAATTATTCCATTCTTTGACTCCTGTTGTATTGTAGACACATTTATGTTATTGAATACGTGTTTACTATATGGGTCTTTTCTGCTCGATTGTGAGGCTCCTCATTGACTTTTTAATGTAAAAACTAGTAAAACCAGGCACGTTTATTAGAGTTATTATATGTCAAACTCTGTTCAGAGATTTTACATATGCTATCTCCATTTTTGATACAGTCTTTAAACTATTCTTTAAATGATTGAATGAGTCCTTTGGGTACTGTATACATTACAGACACTCGGTAATGGTTGAATATATGAGTATGTGTTGTAATTTTTCTACCATTTATACTCTCCCTTCCTTTACTTATGTTCTGTTCTTTAGTCTGTTGGCTTATTTGGCTCTTCCCTGACACATCTGCAATTACAGGTTTCTCTGTCTTTGCTCATATTGTTCCTTCCACTTGAAGATTTTTATAAACTCTGGTATGAAAATTCTTACTAATCCCTCAAAGGTTATGTTGCTTATGACTTTTCCCCTTATGGTTATTACAGATCTCTTACTTCTTCAACCCCTCTAAGTTCTTGCTTATCTTCTGCATTTACCACTTTTATTGTTAAGATTATTTGTCCAATTATTTTAGTTCCCATTTGACTGTAAACTACATGAAATCAGACTTCTTTATCTGTGTTTTCTGAAATAGTGCAGCACAGTATCTCATACATAGGCTTTCAGGAACTGTTGTACATTTAATTCAGATAAGCTGAGAAGTAGAGGGATGTGCATGAGCAGGTATATGTGTGAGATAGAAAGACAGAGAGACAAAGTGTGCTTGCTTGATTGCTAAGAAGGTGTGTGCTTGGGTTAGGCA